TATATATATATATATATATATATATATATATATATAATTTTATTTGGTGATAATTATCAAATTCATTATATTTGATGTTAGCTGAGAAAAAATATTTTTATAAATGAGTATTCAAAATTTTATTGTCTTCCATCAAGTTGTGATGTTCTTGTTGATTAGGTATTAAACACAATATGGATGTTAGCACTGATGATGATATTCCTGTCCGAGATGTTGGTCCAGGAGCCAAGTCTCCCTTGGTTGTTAAAACAGAAGATAAAGTTTCCGATAAAAGAGTAGGTTGTTATTTTTTATTTGATAGATTTTGTAATTGTATTTTACTCTTGTTTGTTAATACTAAGACAGCAAATATCCTTCCTATTTTTTAACATTATAGAAAAGATATTGTACTTCTTGAGCATGGTTTTTGTATTTAATATTGTTGATTTAAGATAGTGCCTGTTATTGCTTTTGATAATTAATAGCTTTGTTTGAAATGTATTTTACTATTTTGTAATTAATATAAACTTTTAAGCAGAGCAAGCTACCTACTTAAATCAAAAATAAAAGTCAACTGGGTAATGAGTGTAGCTTATTAAATATATTGTTTTTATTTATCTTATTTATTTAGAAAGCATTATTTCAAAAGTTGGGTACACACACTGTTAATGACATTTTTGGCCATAAACCCAATAATATCTTGCAAGATTTGGCCAGCTTAGGAGCTTTTTTTCTTCTAATCTCTATAATAAAAAAATAATGATAAAAAGTTTAAAATAATAATAAGATATATATTAAACATTCTAACTAATACCATTAATGAAAGTAACATTAAAGAAATTATAGAGTATAACTTACATATAAGCATTAGTTGTTAGCTTCAAGTACTGTTCTATATTTAATGTTTGTTGAACAAATTAACATATTTTTTTTTATTGTAGACAGATACCTATAAGTCAACAAATGCCAAATCAAACAAACAACCAATTTCACAATGCTCCTCATCTCAGACCACAGTGGAAAACTTAACGACAGTCAATCTCATTACTAACCTTCCAGCAAATTTGGGGTTCAAAGAATCCTTCCCAAAACAAGATGAAGAGCTAGAAAGTGGAATGTTTTCCAAAAAACCAGAGCAGTCAGCAGGAGGTCATTTTGAAGACTGTGCTTCCATTCCTTCTGAGAAACTAGCCCAGTGTCACACATCAACTCCAGTAACAAAAAGTGTATCTGGAGAACCCAGAAATTCTAAAGAATCTGGAGATAATATCAAGATACATAAGAATCATGATGCTTCAAAAATGCAGAAGGCCAAGGGACAAAAAGAGGTTGACAAAAGAAATTTTTTGTTTGGCTCTAGTAAAGAAAAGAAATCTGACAGCTCTGTTTGGTATGAGTATGGCTGTATTTAGAAAAGTATTTATTTGGATTTCATAAATATTTATTTGAATCATTCAGTCATCATATTTATACAGATTTTATGTGAAAGAGCCTTGTTTATTTGCTACTGTAATATTGTACATAATTTTATAATTTTCAGTATGTTTTTTGTAATTTCATACTATGAAACTAAAGATGCTAATTATGTACACTAGCTAGGTTTTGTTGGGTCTAGCTCAAAATTTGGATTTAGCTTAATTTCTAGTTTGTTCCTTATTTTGATTTGATTATCATGATGTACAAAGAAAGAGGAAAAAATTCTGTTCTAGTATTGAGATTTGTGTGTAGACAGTAATGAAGTAAATCTCAAAACAAGCTTTGAAGAGAGTAAAATGATAGTCAAACAATCGTATTTTAGGCTGTCTTTGTAGTTTTTGTTGCAGTTAATATGTTATTTTAAATCAAAAATTGATAATTGTGAACAGAACTTTGGAAGGATTGGTAACATTTTAAAGCATGGTTGAAGTAGTTTTCCATCTCTCTGTAAATATTTCCAAGACAAGATTTACACGTATGCATGTTGTTCCTTGTAGTTTATTATTCCTTGATTTGTTCTTTGAAATATTGTTACAAACTGCAGAAAAATTATTTCAATATTAGACATTAATATTGGTTAATATTTGTTATCTTAAAACTACTTTGCAGTGAAATAATTGAAGTAGGGAAGAAAATTCTGTCTGCCTGCATAACTACACATACTTGTTTCATGTAATGGAAAATGTTACTTTTGTAGTCATTTCCAGCTTTTTGTATTATTATTTGTGAATGTGAAATATTATATAAAAGTATCTAAACTGGTAAAACAGTTTCTCTTTCAAAGCTTTATTTGCTGTAATCACTAAGTCATCATTCAGTGTGAGAACTGAATCCATTTGAAATCATAATTTGTCATTCTTTGTTTGTTAGGTTGATAAACTGGTCTTTTTTTACTTTTAAAACTAGAAACTTCCAATTTGTAAAATGACACATGTTATACTTAAAAATGAGCTTTATTTCTTGAAGCTTAAATTTTAAAATTAAGATCATCAAGCTTCATTAGTAAGGGACAACTGAAACCTTGTTTTTTGTTTAAATAACATTTAGTAATACATGATGCTAGTGTTGTAGTACAGTGTTATGTGTTTAAGTGTGATTATAGTATTTTTAAAGTTCCTTTGAGATGGTCTCAGTTTTCTTGGAAAATTATGTAGGACTATCAATGTTGATATGAAATTATGTTAAGTAATTTAATTTAGTATGTGTGTAAATAAAGCATCTCTGAAAAATAAGACCTAAAATAAACTTACTACAAAACTAATGTTTTGGTGAAAAAAAATTTAAAGGTCTAGTTCATAGAAAAACCAGTAGAAACATTGTTACTTTTCATTATTTAAAGAATATATGCTTCACTTATGTATTTTGTTGTGCAGAACTTGCAGTACTTTTTGATTGTTATAATTTCAGTGTTCTTGGAATATTTTTGTAATGTGTATTAAAAAGTTGAATGGCAGTTACTGTTTTTGTTGGTTTGTTTTAAAAATCGATTAGGCTGCACATTTATTGCAATGAATATTGAAAATCATTTATAAATTTTGTTAATGCTTTTATATAGTGTATTATTTTTCCAAGCTTGCTTCATTGATGATTACACATATATTTATGGTCATAAAGGAGTATAATATTTACTGTAAGTCTGCAACTTGATTCTAATCAATTTTTTTTTTTATTTTCTAAATCTATTTAGTATGCACACATTTCATTTCAAAAGACTTATTTTCAATAAAAACATTGGATCCACTTTCAGTATCACAAAATTAATTTCTCTAAGCATGTTCTTTTTACATTAAATTGACACTTTTTTTAATAAACAGTTTTTAACCTTTATGTGAAATTTTATTTCTGGTTAAATTTTTAAAATGTTTTTCCAACTGAGAAATGCCTGAAGGTAATCCTCTGTTGAGCAGGGGTCTGTGTGTTAACAACTGTCAGTGAAGAACAAATCATGTTACCTCATTTACATAGGTTATATATATAAACTTTTTATTGCAAAATTTAAACAGGAATATTTCATGAAGTTTTGCTGTGTGTATTAATTGATGTCTGAAAGTATTTTACTCTGATATCCACTATTATGTTTTCTTTTATTCAGGTTGACTGCATATTTAATAGGTAGATTCAGTCACATTTGTTCAATATTTCATGATTTTTTTTTCATGTCCTTTTCTCTTTAAGCTTGATCTTGTACTACTTCTTGGTAATGTCAATAAAATATGTCTGAAGATCTAGTGCCCTTTGTTTCTTCTAATTATTATTAACTTCTCATAAAAGCAAGAAACCTGCATTAACTCAGTAATGAATATAGCTACTTTAATAAACCATCTCTATTTATAATGGTTTTTAATGCATTGATTCATCAGTTCAGTACCATCACTCTTAGTGGTGTTTGCAGCTGAAATCCCAATAATATCATAATGTTTAGCCAGCTCCAGAGATGTAGGTAAGACCTAAACCAATATACTAAACTAAAAATGCAAAATAATCCTCAAACAAAAAAAATAAATGTTTATGATGAACACTTTCATCGGTGCTTGTTAACAGAACTTGCAAAACCTACAGAAACTACATGGACTATAACAGGTTCTGTTCCTTGAGAAAAGTGACACCAGTATACATAAAACAGTATTATATTTCTAACAAAGTCTATTGACCAAGGAAAGCCCAAGAAATGGCTCTAACAGTGTCACTTAAGAGTAGCAGAAATGTGCAGACAGTACAGTAAAACAATTAATGGTTATAAAGACAGGAAATAGTAAAACCATTAACAAAAATCATACAGTAAATGGTAAAAATAATAATTCTCTAATTAGAATAATGGTTAAATGTAATAAAAATAATTTACTGAACATACTATGAGCTCTTGTTTTAACACGAATAATCCTAAAACAAGCCAAAATGTATAAGCAATAATAATATCACAGCAATAACAATAAAACTTCAAGAAATAAACATGATAAATATTACAATATGGTGATAAAACAAACTTTAGAAATTAAGATTGTAACTGTGATAGTTTTGAAAGGTGGTAATATACTGTAAAATTATTAATCTTGTAATTAGCAGCAAGGTTGTTGAAGTTACTATGCCACATTTAATAAATCTGATGTTCAATATGTGGTTGGAGAAACCTTGCTTGGGAAAAACATTACATAACTTAAATTTCATCATTTAGATAACCTTATTGAACATATCACTACCATCTTCAGTAATAAGTGGGCAGGGAATGGCCTAGTGATTAGTATGTGAGGTTGCAGATCAATGTATACACCCTGAACTTTCAGCTGAGGACTCTATAAAAGTGACAATAAACCTTTATTCATTTCAAAAAGCTAGATAAAGCTTATGTAGTGTTGGGTGCTGATTGGCCATCTTTCTTGTGTTCAGTAGCTCAAAATAAAGGATAACTACAAGGGTTCTCTGATCTGGCCATTTACTGTAAGTGCATAAAAGGTGGTGTTCAGATTGAAAAATTCCAATTCAGTAATAATTGAAATCCTTTGAAACACTTCATTCAAACACTTCTAAAAGAAAGTTAAAATCAATTATACATTCAGTTGGCTTCCTCACTAAATATTACATATGTTTCTATTGAAAATAATTTCTCCAGCAGTTTTTAACACAATGTCTGAACTTTATGGGGAACATATATTAGTTTACTTGCTTGCATAGTAATGCATCACCTAATTTTGAACTGAACCACCTTGCAACACCCACTGTCAACTCTTGGGCTATCCTTTAGCAACAAACAATGGGATTGGCTATTACATATAACACCCTCACAGCTGAAAGGGTGAGCATGTCTGTCACTGAGTTTTGATTTAGTGACCTGCAAGTTGTGAGTCTAGCTCCCTAACCATTAGAACTGACTTGAGTGAGGATAAAAACATCTTTAAAATCTCTTGTCCATAATGAGAAAGTATGATTTTGTTTTTATTCAATATTCACCTACAACAATTACAAAATGTTGACACTTTCTCTACACTACAACAAATATGACAAAACTATACATCTTCAAACCGTAGAGTGATGAAAACACGATAAAGTGTACATATCAATAGATTTATGGAAAATAACTGACTTTATCAGACACAGTTAATAATAACAAAAAAGAAGTTGTAGAGGTACCTTACATCTTGTATAAACATTTATAGTATTGTAACAAACTGCATATTATCAGAACATGTGATTACCCACCAACACAAATTACAATTATAATTAGTCATATCATTAGTAACTCATTATTTAATATACAAAAAACAATTCACATACACAAAATATTACACAAATTGAATAACCAACTTCAAATATTATGTTACAATCAAGTCTAATTCTCTATTCATTTACCATACAATTTTGTTTAAGATTTTTCTAATCTTATTAGACAAAATTAATTTCAAAGGGTTTAATTTTGATCAAGATTATTTGTTTCTGAGAGATCTGAAAGGAAATGAGGACTATATTATATACATCCCAGACATATAGTTTAAAATAGTTTCTTTCTTCAGATTCTAACTCTTTTTTTTTTTTGTGTGTGTGTATATATATACACAGTTGGCTCTTTTTTTTTTCTGAAACAGAATCCTTTTATTTTGTTTGAGATTATTGTAAGTGTGACCAGAATTCTAATTAATAAGTTACTGCATATATGGTAAAAGAAATGTAAATAAACTGAGTCAACAAAACTCATTGGTCGATACAACATATTTAACAAGCCATTAAACTCAATTATACTGGTTGTTTTTTAAATTGTAGTAAGTATTGTTTTACTTCTGAGAGCACTTTATTTTCAATATTGATAGATAGTTAGATAATTCAAAGAGCTTACACATAAGTGCAGAATTTATGAAACTAGTATTAAACTTAACACCCCCCCCCCCCCGGGGGCACAACAGTATGTTTGTGGACTTTGTCATTTTACAGGAAATTATATCTTGCATACTTGGATATGTCATAATTAACAAGTAATTAACTTATATTTTATCTGGTTAAAACATAAGTTATTTCAGAACTCCTTGTACACAATGTCCTATGTAATCACCTGTTTATATTGTTACGTCTCCGTTTGTTAATTGATTTTCCGTAACTTCGTTCCGACGAAACTTAAGCGACACAAGTTCTTTACTTAATAAAACTGATTTATTCTTTCCGAATATAACTTCACCGATACACTCAACTTCAACAATCGCGTTAAAACAAACGCTAATCAACGAACGTCAACAATACTTCCGACTGCAGTTCAGTTACTCACTATAGATAGGGTAGGCTGGTATATAAAAGAGGGGAATGTAATGTGTGTATAGACAGTGAGTAATTGAACTGCAGTCAGAGAGCACGAGAGACATTACTCAAATACTAGAGCATTCCTGAAAGAACAAGATAGTTCTAGAAACTAGAGGGCGCCACACCAGTCACGTGACCTCGATGACGCAACAGTATCAAAAATCCCGATTTTCAATTATTGTATTGCAGTCCATTTAAGTATAACTTTAAACAGGTACAAAGTATTTCCATATAACATGATAAGAAGACATCTTTTAAGTTCAGAATTTTCTGGACAACTTTTATATATACTGTTATTTGCTTCTAGTATTACTAATAAGCACAGTTTGAATTCATCATTAAAAGTTATAGTTAACACGCCAAAAAGTGGCGAAGCATTAAAAACCAATAGGCCCCAAATTTTATTCGGCCTTTTTTTTTAATTTGTCCACTTCGTATTCAAAATCAGATGCATTTAAAAATAGCATTTTAGATCTGTCTTTACACGCCTTTGATTTTGAATCCAAAATGGACATATTGAAAGGAATGCGAAAACAAAAGTCTGCAGTTTACGTGAATTTTGCCACAAACGTTAGGCCTAATGAAATTATCGTTGTTTGATTGTTAATTGTACGGTAACTTATTCTTCTGGGCATTGTTGTAATGAATTAACTCTGGTGTTTGTTGTAATTCTTCCTTTCTTAATGAAGATTTTTATTTAGGGGTTCCTTGTTTTAATTATTTCTATAATTGCTTGTCTGCCGTGAGTTTTCTTCTTTAACGACTGCTTAGTTCCCTCTAATAATTCAATGGACGAAAAAGTTATTTTATGTTGCTATTCAATTCTCAAAATATTAAGGCTTAACTTTTATGAAAGTTTAACCTTCGTAAAGTGTTTATGAATTGATTGTAGGAAAACCTTATATTTATTTAAAATTTTAAAAGAGCCAACAGAGCTCGTCTCTTATCAAACTTGCGACGGATTTCAAAACACTAATCGGCTTTCAGGTTCAAATAAACCTTATAAGCGTAACTGAGAGCACGACGAACTGTTGAGCGGTGAAAATAGCAATACTGTAATATTTTCCGCCTCAACGCTAACCGGAGACTCAAAGATATCGAGTCACAGAGTGTGTTTCTTACCGAACTGTGACCGAGTTACATAATATTTTAAAAAGAGATAACATCGAAAAACCCCTTAAACCGAAATCTTATGCTAACTTATCCTAAACTCAAAAAATAAAGATAGATCTTAATACAAAAAAAATGAGAAAAATATACATATATACGAGTATATACACACACTATACAAATGATAGTCTTAAACCTAAGCGTGATAAAATAAATATATATATATATATACACTTTTCAAATCAAAATTCTTATCATATATATATGCCCTATACAAATACAAATTTTATTTCTAAAATGTACAAAACCAAATTATAATGCAAAAATCAGTTAAACAAATATAATGTGTGTGTGTATATATATATATATATATATGCAATGCTGTAAAAATTTATTGTATCACCAAACTTTTTCACACATTTCTCCTGAATCATTGCCTGTTTTAAAGCGAAATGCATGTAGGTGAAAATGTGTTTCATGGATGATTCAGTACAGTCTAATTATGACATCAACAGCTTGATAGGCTGTCTATATATTGCATCAGCCGTTTTTTTTGGCCATGAACAGAGGTTCTTACTTAAAGTCAGTTTAGAAGTTTACGTACTACAACATACATGTGATGCTACCATGGCCAAGGGTTGCAAGTTAACTCAATATAAAAAAACAGTGATTGTTTCTTTGAGCAAACAGAAGCTTTTAAAAAGGCAGTTTGCTAGAAGAATTAAATTTAACTAGTCTACTGTGAGCCGGTAAGTACAGAGATATAAAGAGACTAGCTGTGTGGAGTGGCAGAAGGGAAAGGGTAGGAGGAAAGCTTCCACAGCAACTGACGATCGTG